CCTCCTCCTCCTCCTCCTCCTCCTCCTCCTCCTCCTCCTCCTCCTCCAACTCTCCAGGTCCCAGTCATTAGTCTCCATGATGTCCAGAGCCTTTATTAAGACAGAACCCCTTTTGCACTGGCTCACAGATGTGTACAACCTCCTGATCTGTAATTGATGTACCATTCTGCATATGGTCCTCTAATCAATTGCAAAAAATCAATTTTCTCCTGCAACAGGACCAGTGTCTTTCCAGTATTCCCCTTAATACATTATGTTGTAGCAATGATATCATCCCATTGGGCTTATGTAAGTGTGTGGTCAGCTAACATGCAAGGTTCGTACATAGCACAGGAAATGCTGTGAAGGCAGATGTCCCAGTCTTGAACATATGGAATTAATATTTCTAAAGCTAAGCACAAACACTACTAAAGTTTGCATTGTGCATCTCAGCCCATATTTCCAAGCTGCTGAAATATTCTGAATCTTGGTCTGGTTATGTAATGTCCTAGCTCCCCCAGTTTGGGGGCATGAAAATGCTTTGTGAGTGTGCTGACTACAGGTAAGCATCGTTGTAAGGTTCTTTCTGGTTTTCTCCTTTAGTTGTCAAGTTCTGGATTTTGTTGCCTCCAGGTAAACTACCAGCTGGCATCTCAAAACAAAGCCTTCACATAAGCACACTGAGTCAGTGGCAACAGCTGTAACACGATGGTTAAAAAAACAGACTAGGTACCGGGTGTGGTAGTGAGCACCTTAAACCCATCACTGGGGAGGCAGAAACAGACCTCTGCTGGTTCAAGACCAGCCTGGTCCACATAGTGAGTGACAGGCTAGTCAGAGCTTCATAGTGATATCAGTCTCAAAAAGAAAAAAAAAAGTATACACATGGAAAAGTATATTTACTTAAGACTAGAAAATATAAAATTTAAAGAGTAACTACAATATTACAATATTAGAAATTTAAAAATCAAGGGAGATGAAAGCAAGTTTGGCTTTGATTTGAGCTGACAATTATATGTATTCACAGGGTGCATGTTTGCACGGTATGGAATAAAGCTAATTAACATATTCAACAACACACATCCTTTTCCTTCCCCAGGGTGGACATTTACAATCTACTCTGAGCAGTTCTGAAATACACATTACCTTGCTCTAATCACCATATTGCATAATAGGTCCCAAAAATGCATTTCTCACCAGAGACGTTGGTTACGTGTTCCCAGGACCTGGTCAGGCCTCCACTGCATGGTGGGTAACTTGGTTGGTGAATGGCAAATACTCTGTCAGAGAGGTAATATCATAAAGGCAACCTCCGAGAAAACAAAATGGGAGGCGAAGTTTCCAGCCCAGGAGACAAGACCAGGGGAGTCTCCACCGGTCCTGCTAGCAGGCCCACCAGTGACTGCAGAATGAGGGAACTGCAGCTGGCAAGGGTCCTTTAGGTCTCCTGGTTCATCCCTCCCCAGGAGGAAGACAAGGAATGTGGGTCAAAGAGGTGGTCACCCAGGGAAATCCAAAGTTTTATTCTCTACCAGTAGTACAGAGTGGGCAGGTGCGTGCCTTGGCAGATCCTGCTACACTGGATCTTTAGAGAACAGGGATTTGGAAGGCCCCAGCCATTACAAGCTTGCTGGCTGACAGCCAGCTCACCCAGGGGCCTGGCAAGCCAGGGCCCATTGAATAGAAGCAAATTCCAGTGTGACTCACACTGGCTTTCCTGAGTGCCCTCTGTTGCCAGTTTCTGAACTTGGCACACTACTCCTCTAACCCACAGTGAGACAGGGCCACAGTGGGAGTCAATGCGCGATCAGAAACTGTCCCTGCAAGAGCTACAGTCCCAGCTACACACCTTTACCTTTAAGGCCACAGATCCAAGGGTGGCTGCCCCTCTCTGGGAACTGCCTTTAGTCTAGCCATCTGTTTCCAAAGACAGTAAACCACATGAGCCTTAGACAATTGGCTATAGCCTCCCATCATCCAAAGCCAAGCCTTGTCACTCAAGGCAGCAATCAGTATCCATTCTTGATTAAAACACAAGGCAGTGTGCAGGAGAGCACCAATCCGATCTGTACAAACCAGTTTGTGCGATGATAAACATCACACACGTTGAACACTCCGAGGCCAGAGTGACCACAGTTGCAGCCTCTCTCTTCCGTGGCTGTGAGTTTGGATATTTTGTGATCCTGCCTCACACTCTTCCCTGGAATGCTGACTATCACTGCTCACACCGCATTTGTGACTCCATTATTGCTGCCTGAGTCCATGAAGATGACAGCGGCTTAAGAGCTGAGACCACAGACTCTGGCATCAGACTAATGGGGTAGATGAAACCTAGTCTCTCCACTGTAGTCCTAGACTGTAGGTAACCCACTGACTTCCATTTCCCTGCCTGTAGGATGACTTTCATAACCCACACGGAGGAGTCATGAGGATGGAATTTGTGTGTGCAGAGCCCCTAGCACAGGCCTGCCTTTGCCACAATAGTTTAACTTCAGTCTACTTTGGAAACTACTTTTCCTTTATCTTCTCATTGGAGCAAATCCAACATCACCTCTGGCTCCAAAAGTCAGTCCTTCATCTAGGGTGATGCTGCTCACAGCCACTAGCCTAGGGATGGTCACAGAGCTGGGAAGACAAAGGGACAAGACGCAGGTTAGCCCATTCACAGATGCTCATGGAAGAGCCTGTGAGTCTAAAATCTTGTTTTTCTCAGTTACATTCAGATTGTCCCCACACCCTACTTATGCTAATTTCCTTAAGTATCTGTTGCTTGAAACTCAGTCCTGACTAACTCCCTAACACATTATGATCTGCGTTCAACATGTCAATTATTCTGCCTCTTTGACAACTTTTATGCCAACTCCTCAGACACGACGCTGCTACCTCAGCTGCCTTCTGGAAACTTCATTATCCTTCCCTTTTTGGACTCACAAAATGCTCTTGCATGAAAGTGTAGGGTCTCTGTAGGGTCAGAAGACCCATGTCACAGTCCACATGCCCCATGAGACAACAGTAACGTCCTATGCTGGTTGGTGTTTTGTCAACTTGACACATGCTGGATTCATGTCAGAAAGGAGAACCTCAACTGAGGAAGGTCTTCACCTGGTCGGCCTGTGAGAAAGTCTATGGAGCATTTTCTTGATTAATGATTGATTCAGGAGGGCCCAGCCCACTGGAGGTGGGACCACCATGGGCAGATGGTCCTGAACATAAGGAAGCAGGCTGAGGGCTGAGTGAGCGATGAAGAACAAGACTGTGAGCAGTGTTATTCCATGGCCTTTGCTTCAGTTCCTGTCTCCAGGTTCCTGTCCTGCTTGAGTTTCTCCCCTGGCTTCCCTCAGTGATGGACTGTTAATTCCCCAAGTAGTCATACCGCTTTTATCACAGCAAGAGAAACCCTAAATAAAATACCTCCCTT